CTCCTGTTGGGCGCCAGGAAAATTGTTGGCAGCTGACGCGACTTGGCCAGGATGTTGCCCGAGGTCCTTTGTTAGCCCTTTTCCAGCCTGCCGCTTTTCTTCTTGCGCATAATTAATTTCACGTTCTTGCCAAAAATTATGCGACAGGATTTGTTTGCCCACGCTCCTTTTTCTCTAGCGGAAAGTCCTTCCTCATTTTGATTTCCCCCTCTGCCTTAGTTTGTTGTATTTGTTTTGCATTTTGGCAACATCTCGTCAGCCGCCTGGCGAACTTAATTCCTCCGGCGGACCGTCAAGTCTGGCCAATTGTGCTGCAAAGTCAGCTTAAATAAAAAGTTTCTCGAAATAATCAGTGTAAACGGCAAAGCCATTTTAAATGCTTAACATTCCATTGTCAATACGAGAAAGTTGAGTGCAGCAAAGTGAATTTCTTGAACCAACAGACATTTTTTGTGTTTCTACAAGACTTTAAATGTTATTGTTATTTAAATAGTAAAGTAAAGTGGTGTGAAATAGTACAAAACATACAATTTGAGCAACCACATAGCCAAGATAAATTTGTTTTTGAAGCAGAACGGAATCGTGTAGATTGCTGCATTCAAAATGCAAACAGAAGCTAAGCCAGATAAACACTATCAAATATCATATTTATCGATGGCACAAGTTTAAGCATCACAAACCCTCTGGAATTCACACTCGGACATTTATAATTGTTTCGCAGCCTCTACAATCGATAACAATTTAAATCCATTGCTGCCAATAAACAATTATTGCAGCTAACAGCAAAAGCGAGCGCCTCCACCATTTACCCCAATTCGATTTCCATACCAACTGGGCTCAAATGGGTTCTAGGCCATCAGCCCCATTAGCCACAATCCACAGCATGGTAGTCGCCTATAAGCCGGCGGACATTTGGCCAGACTTTCGTTGAGCTTTTTATCTTCATAAAAACGCCGCCAGACAAAACACACATGCAGAACGAGATGGCAGACGGACTAACCCAAAAACGAAATTCATTGCAAAAATGTTCAAAAATTGGCGAACGAAAAATTGAGTGAAAAATTCAGGCAGCTGGCTGCCCACACCATACCACCAAGGAGCACTAAATAAAGTTTGCACTGAAAAACTATTAGGGAGTCGGCACAAAAAATTCACTTAGAATGTCACAGACAAAAAATAACAACAGGCCAGCCCAGCAAAAAAAAAAACGAGATAGAATTGAAAGCAAGTTTATCCACCCATAGAAGCTCGTATTGCAAATTCCAAAAGAGGCAATGAAATGGCAACCGACTGTATGGGATTGGAGGAATTCGAAGGGCTTTTTTTCCCAAGGGGGAGAACAAACCGAAACAGGAAATTAAAATCGAATCGTGTGTGCTTTGAATTGTGCATCTTCCATCTGGGCACGTGTATCTTCGTATCTGTGCATCTGTAGGAAGAAGTACCCCCTGATAAGTAGACGCCCCAAACACCAGAAAGTGTTTAATTTGATAGGGCCCCAGGGACTCTAGAATGGAGGGGGGTTTTTTGGTCAAAAACTTTTCGCCGTTACCTTGACTTCCAGAATTTATGTGCAAAGTTTTTCCGCGTCTGCGTTTCTGTGTTGGTCTATGTGTGTGTGTGCTTGGCCAAATTATGCAATTTTAACGCATAAATTTCATGACTCGCGACCGGCGGCCATTGCAGGGAGGAAGCTCCAGATTCGGTATCCAGCTCCAGCTCCAGTTTCAGTTTCAGTTCCAGCTCCGGCTTCCTCTTCCACATTTCCCCCGGCAACTTTGGCCCAAAGTTCACACAACTGCGACTGTCTAATTAAAGCGTCCAGCTGCCGGGACATCTTTCCTGGCCCAGTCGCAGTCGCAGTTTAAGTCGCATTCCCATCCTCTCAGCCAGTGCAATTTAAATGCAGCAACCAAAATAGGTAAAACCGCTTTTATGGCCCCAGAGTAGAGTATTTTGGCTAAGATGGAACAGTGGTTTATTAAAAACATTTTTTCGAGAATTTCTAAAAGTAGTAAAATCTAAGAAATCTATAAAACTGGTTAAACAAATATATATTAAATTTTTAAAAATTAAAAAAGTTTTTTTTATGTTTTCTAGATGACATGGTACTTCAAAACTTTTTTACTACGCTCTCCAAACCGGTGCATTCTTCAGGGAACAGCCAATCTACTCAGATATTCATTTATCCCCGCAGTGCATTAATCAACTGCGAGTGTATTCCATCTTCGTCTCGTCGCGAGTCTGCTGATGTTGGAGTTTGGTCTTGGACCCGGTCGTAAATATAAAAGTTGGCATCGCTCCCCGGAGACAAATCAGTTTGAATTTGATTGCATCTTTTACGGCCTTTGGCACCCTATAACTTTTTCCGGCTCACCTGAGCGACCCGCTGAATTCTGAAGTGGCGAAGAAAGCGGCGACACGGGTCTAAACCGATGCCCTAAGCAGATGTCGGGTTGAGTTCTATCGTGGCAGACGCTTGTCCTAATCCCAATCAGATGCACCGTTCAAAAATCTTAAAGTAGACACAAAAATACACCATTTCAGACAGAGAAAGACTATTATAAATATAAAACATACATCAAAACACGATATTTTTTTCACTTTCAAGTCTAGATCTTCATACTAGGTGATAAAAATATAGAGTGACTCATTTAAAGTGGAATAAAACTTTCAATAACATTCAAATTATATTAACTAATTGTATAAAATCCCAATGACTTTATTGATTTAGAATGGAATAGAATATTTCTTCCAGTGCTTATTTCCTTTCTCCTTTCGCTTAACTGCAGTTTGCCATCATTGGGCCATGTCCTGTATGTGTTTCGTCATGTTTTGCAGCTCGTCCTTCGCCGTGCTCCTGCTTTTACTTGCCAGGATAAGCTCGTAAAACTTTTCGTAAGCCAAAAGCCGAAAGGAGCGAGGAAAAAAACTTGACTTTGTTTATTTCTTGTTTCCTCCTTTTTTTGGCTTTGTTTCCCGGAAGTTTTATGCGTGAGCCGAAAGGTGACCAAACGGCATGGAGAACAAGGAAAATTAAGGACTTTAATGAATCGTCGGGGAGCGGTTGAAAATCCTGTAAGAAAAACCCCAGTAACAACAAAAAAATATTTAAAAGAGATACGAACAACACCAGCTCTATGGCAGGTCTAAAAAAATGTCACACACAAAATGCTTTTACAATTGAAATGTCAATAATGTTTTATGACATTGCAGCGAAGGGCCCAAGGAAAACCAACCAAGTTAAGGGGAAAACCCGCCCCGCAAAATATTTTCATTTGCCTGACAAATCTTGACATGCAACAGCAATCAAAAGCGACGGCTTCGGGCTTGCCCAGGGGCCACCAGAGGGTTAAGGGTGCGGGAGGCGCCACCGAAACAGGACAACATTTTGTGGCCTGTCTTGCGGTGTTTGCCTGAAATTGGCCAGAAACGAGACAGGAACGAGCGCAAAAAGTACAAACGATAAAAGGGACTGAGGAAATCCAATTCAAAATGCCATCAGACATTCTAATTTCATTCATTTTTCAATACAATTTCCAAGGTCCGGCCACTCACTTCCTTGTGGCCGCATAAATTGTGATTCCGATAAAGGCAAAACAAGCCAAAAACACGGAATCAAAATGCGAATGGAACGGGAATGGAAACGGTGACAGTGACTGCTCCTTTGGCGTGACTCCACATTCGGAATTACACTCGTTATGAGCAAATTGAATTTCTTCACTTGTCTTTCAGATTTGTTTGTTGGGACATTTCAAGAAGTTTGGGAAGCTTACATTTTAGATTATCTTGTATTTATTGTTTGGTAATTAAGTTTAAGAAAATAGTTCTATATCATACTAAAAGCTAAGTTTCCAAAATGTATTTTTAAATCAAAAAATGTAGTACAGTGAAAAATACAATATTTTTTAAACTAACCATTCATTAATATATTGTATTTTCTGGTTAGGGTATTATAACTTCGCAGACCCGTCATAAGTATGAGTTACCTTTCCTAACGCATTCCGTCTGCATTCGCAACGCGACAATGTAGGTGACACTAACCCATTTCGAAATTCAGACGCAGTTCCATCTGCATAGGACCTAAAGGGAATAAAAAATGGTATAAAACCAGACCAGCTACAGACAAAAACTGCAGAAGCCTTGCAAACGTAGAAGAATTCAAGAAATTTCCCAGTTTTCTATAGAAGATAAGAATTTGCACTTCAATAGCAAAGACAACCGACTTGCGGTCATTAACTGGACCTTGATCTGGGTCTTAAGGGCGAAATGAAATTAGCTATGGCGCATTGTTTGATCGGCAGAACGAAATTGAATTGGTCCGCCGCAAAATGATAATTAGCATCATAAAGCACGGCTCCAATGTTCCTTGTAAACTAATTAAACCTGCTGCAACAACAGTAACAATTGCCAACGCTTCGCCCCAAATGCAATCACAAATTAATTGTGGCAATAATTGCTTTATAAATAACTATAAGCCCACAACTACCAACTTGCCATATATGTTTGTATGTAATGGGCGTGCACTTGTATATATGTATGTTTATTTATAAGTGTGTATTTGAGCAGGTGCACAAATGTGGGTGTGGTGTTTGTGTGTGCACACCCTCGCAAAACCATTGAAACGCTTTGCGGCAGATTAGTTAATAACCAAGCAAAGTTGATTTAAAGCCGCAACGCGAGATGCCAGCTAATACACTAAGTTAAACCAAAAAAACCTTAGTATTTAAAAATCTTTTTTTAAATACGTTCCATTCAGTATGCCATCTGTTAGCACATATGCCATCTGATAGCACATAATACAAATTTAGATATTTTGATATTATAGATAGATAGATATTATATAGATTTCCATTAAAGGACCTTTTACCTTACGTACCTTCTATATTCGCAAATATCTTAATAAATCAAGCCTTATCTTATATATTTGTTGGCATCCAAAAAGTATTATAACGTAATAATAGAACCGATATCATAACATTGTATTTTTCTGAGTGCAAACTTAGGTCGAAATGAAGAGGGCGAGAAAGTGGCTGGGCTCGATGCTCGACTAATGAGGCCAACGGCGCGTATGATTGATTTAGGTAACTGTGAGATGGGGCTGAGTGAAATCCGCTTGGGGCTGGCATTCCTATTTGCATAATTCATAATTCAATTGATTCGCACTCCAAAGCGGCTCTTGGTCAACAAGCCCTACCGTTTCTCATGGATAATATAGGCTGAAAACATAGTATTTTACAAGGGTAAGTGCTCATTTTCACCAAGAACTTACTTCCCAAGCATACAGCGAATACTGAAATGAAACATATAAAGCCATTTCGAATGATGTGGGATGTATTTGACCGATTCAACTGCTGGTCGGACTTTGCACACTCTGGTTCATAGTGCTTTTTGACCATATCATCCAGATCCAGTGGCTTCAGTCCAGTCCTTAGGGTATAGACCCCTAGCCGTGGGGATTTCTTGGGATCCAGTTCAATCTTGACATCCATCGAGTTCCACTGGGCATTTTTTTCCCTAATTAATTTGTCTTTGGCTATGCTCTTTACAACTATGGAGCAATCGGGTAAAACCTCCTCAACTGGCGACAGGGTTACAGTAAACTCGGTGGTATCAAAAGCTTCTATTGTACCTTTTGACGGTTCCACTTTGTAATACGTATCATTACTCAAACAAACACTGTAGATCACAACTTTATCGCTGGAATTGATCAGAATTATCAGACGCTTTTGGGAGTGCAATAGAGACGCCTGAAAACTCAGGGTTCTGGGTGTTACAATTAGCTGAACGTCGGACATTTTAAGGTTGGTAAATTAATATTTGTACAAATTCATTCACAATTTTTGGTGAGCACAACTTGATAGACTACTTAGTTAAAGTCAGTGTGCGTGTTTAATTAATAAATATTTGAAACATTTGTTAATTTGTTAAGCAAAAAATACCTGTTTGCCTAACAAATTGAATTACTGCTAATTCAGTGACCCATACTTCAAAAGCCACTGGCACAATTACCCAAGACTTAAATGTTGTCATGATATATCTTGGTCCTGGACTTATCCTGATCCACTTGAACTGGCCTGAGGGCAGCCGCTCATTATGTAAATTGCTTTCCCCCTGTATTTGCCACATCGATAACATTATTAGCAACAAATGTCCTTGTCGCATCCTTGACTGCTGACCAAATTTGTCAGCTTTGCCAATTTGGGGCTACCCTCGTCTTCGTTTTTTCTTCCCATTTTTGCTTTTTTCTTTTTGGCAAACTGAATGGGCTGCCTGGATTTGGAGCGCGTCCGCTGTCAGCAGCATTTGTTGAACGCTTCCTGGGAGCTTCTCCTGCCAAAATTCCGATTCCCTTTCCCCCTCCAGCAAGGACTTTTCCCATTCAGACTTATGAAGCATCGTGCATTGTTGTGCCGGGACAACCGTTGACAGCCAGCATGGAGACAAGTTTTTCTTTCGTTTCGGCTTGGACAAAACGGTGCGTAGTTGAGCGCAGCTGCTTCAAAATATAATAAATAAATAAACATAATTTATAAGTAGCAGATTTTTTACGTCTGTGTTGGCACAAATACTTAAGCACTCCCGCTTTTATACGCCGACAAGGATCTGCGCGGCACTCGAATTTATTTCATTTTTATCTCGGCAGATGAATGCGGTGCCATGTTGCGGGTATTTTTGCCGAGGCAGGAGTCCTGAGACAAAACACGATGAGATTAAGCATCTTTTTTTTTACAGGATAACTTATCCTGGGGGTTGTGGGCGTGCCACGTCAAGTGCATTGCGTGTCCTTACGTAAGCGGGATGTTGATGATTCAATTCACAAATTTTTGCTGATATTTTGTTTTTCTTTTTCATTTTTTTGGAAGTGCGAGATTGCTATATTAGTTGTTAAACAATACTTACCATTAAAATAAGAACATAAAGAATACTGACCAGTTAAATATTTAATTTATTTTGCTTTTATTTACCCTCTAACATTTAAGCCATTCTAACTTTAACTTTATATGTCTAATTTTATTCAATTTTTTTAGCAACTTGCCATTCACACTCACCCACTTAACGTAACGTAACACTTTGCGTTACGTTGACCCTTGGTTGTTGTGGTTCGCGTACCCTTCACCACGCCACCCACTTGACCCACACTGACTCCATATTGCACTTTAGATTGTCAAAACCACAACGGTTCCGCCCTATTTTTTCCCCCCCAACTGCTGCTAAAAATGCCAGGCCGAATTGAAGAACAAAGAATTTGTAGAAGGCCTGGCTAACCGGAAGTCGAAAACACAAACGTACTAAAAGCCGCACTCAGCAACAGCGCGGGATATATATAATAATATATATATATATATATATGTATTTGCGGATGGAAGAACCTCACCCACATACTCAACTCAAGCCTAAGGGGGGCCACATTCAAATGGTTCCATATTTCTTGACAATTTAGGACACCATTAGCGAAAAATTATTACTGTGCAGCCAGTAAGTGGAGTGCGAGGAGTTCGAGTGGGAGTTTTGGTAGGGGCGATGGGAATTTTGCAGGGCAATGGTTGAGCCTTAAATGGGGGAAAAAATAGGCGACAATAGGCGAGGACGCCGTCGTCCGAGTTTTGGCAGTGACAAGACCCCCAGCAGCCATGAAAATTCTAAGGGAAAAAATCGAAGAAGTCAGCTAGGCACAGTGGTTCAGACATTGGTAATATAGCTAAAAAATTATTAAAAAAAGCCACAATTAGTAAAAAATTTTACATTAATGGATTGGTTTTTTCAATACTATGATTTTTAGAATTTCCTAAAATTATAAATTTAACTTGTTAGCCTAAAAAATAGAAAATGTATAAAAATCTTAGAGCAATTTTATATGTTTTACCTTTTTAAAATTAAACAAAAATATAAATATATTTACAATCTTATAATTTTAACGCAAATTAAAACACTGTATAATAAATTTACTTTAAATTAACTTTAATTGATGTTATTAAAATGAATTACTTAAAAAAGAAACATTTATTTATAATACAAGCATCAAGAACATTTGTGCAAACTAGTATGGTAAATCTTATTTATGATACAATTTCAATCCAGTGTGCATTGGCTGTGTTTTGCCTTTTTTTTTGTATTTTCGGGAAAAGCGCGGAAAACTTATGTGGGTGCTTAAGTGAACCATTAGCGCCGCGCGTCATTAAGTTGTTTCCGCTTCGCACACTTCTCGCTCTGTTTTCCATTTCGGCTGTGGGAAAGGAGAAAGGATCCGGATCCGAGTCCCAGTACCAGTACCAGTCTAGGCCCAGACATGCCGCTCGAATGGAATATATATATAGCACGTACTCCTGGGGGGGTGACGATTCGGGGTGGCATAGGCCACATCATTAATGGTTATGGACCCGAGCCGCAGATCCCAGACCCGAACCAGACACCCAAGACGGGGCTTTTGCTTTTTGCGGAACCTTTGCGGTTCATTGACCAGACGGAGGGCGTGTTGATTTATGCTGCTCCAGTGCTATCTGGCCGACTGCCTCGTTATTTTTCCAATTGTTCCCAGGCAGTGGGCTCAACATGTTTTCCGCCTGCTTTCCCTTTTCAGTGCAATTAGATGAGGGGAAGTCAAGTCCACACACACACACAAGACCAGTGTCAAGAGCAAAATTCAATTAAACGCAAATCGGTGCAAAAATCACACGAAACGTCAGGTAGCAGTGTTGTTGGTCTGGCTGGACCTGTTGGCCAGGCCAACAGTACTCGGCACACGCCGCAGGCAAACAGACCAGACACCGGGCACCACAAAGTCCATCGAGTCCATCGAGGAACTCAACTGGCTATCAATGCCTTGTCGCCCCGTGACCACCACACTGCAGTCCGCGTCGGCTCGGTTTTAGCTCGGGTCAGTTCAGATCGCAGCAGTTGGGAGCAGATTCGAGCAGCAGTGCCCGGCAGTTTGTGCACCACTTAAACGGTAAGCCCTGTAAACAAGGACACTGGAAAAAATATAGCTCACTTGATGGTTCGCACAAAAAATTCCATATAAGATTTAGTTTTGATTTTTAAAAGTTTCCGAACTTTCTGTAGGGTGTTTCCAAAAATGTCTTTCCCGAAAAAATTAATATTATAACTAAAAACTGGCAGTAATTTTGATCCTAACACCAAAACTTATATCCACTTATATTTTTTCCAAGCATTTACAAATTTTTGAAAACGTTTTTCGTTTTTTGATAATAAAGTAAGAAATTAAAATTATAAATTATTATTGTTATTCAAATTATAAATAAGATTAAGAGAATTATTAGCTAATTCGTAGAAAAGGCCTTTGACTGTAACCCATATTTATCTATGGCATAACCCAAATTGGTTTGTGGAAGTCATGATTTCCGTTCGCAAAGAATAATGGTTTTAGTACAAACTATTTATAAATTGTTTTTTATATAGGAGCTTTTACTTTTTATTAAAAAAATAATTTTAATAAATTATATAAATTATATTTATTTACTTCAGTACGTTATAGCTTAAGGTACATATCTTTTTTTACACTTAATATAATCTTCCTTCTTTAAGAATCGAAAATAAAAGAATCTATAATTAATAATGATAACGTATTGATACCTCGAAGAATTTTTGGTATGATATTATATAAGGAGACATAAACACAAAGATGTGTTTCTAGAAGGGAAGAACTGTCTGAGGGCTGTATTATCTATGTAACTAATTTATTTATTTTTGTCGCCTTTCTTATAACAAGAACTACACTTTTTCTCACAGTGCACACATCTGAAAGCAATAGTGTGCGTGCAGCAGGTTTAATGGCAAATAAAAGCCCCGGGCTGAACTGCAATCGGAGCAGCGCGGGATCAGCAGCCTGAAAATGCCTGACGACCCGACAGCCATTACGGGCTAAATGGATTTGATGAGCGTTTATGTGCAGTGGCGGCGATTGCATGTTCTAATTATGACAAAGGGCCGGACTTGCCACCCACTGACCCTTGGCCCCTGCCCCCTGCCCTTTGTTCCTTGCCCTTTTGGCCTTGTCCTGCGCTGTGTTTGTCAGCCATTCAGGTGTGCGAGTGCCAGTTGCACCTTGCCTTGCGCAGCAAGCGTGTTATGTAAATGTTTGCCTTTATCGCCGTTCAACGAGCTAAGCGCAAATTAAATTTCATATTAATGGTGGAGAAATGGTTGCAACCCCAAGCCATGGGTATGCATTTATTAGCCAGAAAGTGTTTAAGTGAAAAACAACTGACTAATTATAAACAGCTAGCCCTTAATTGCTATGGTTGCATTAAACAGTGCGAGGTGTGAACATAAAAGGTTCACCCAAAAATTGTTCATTTGAATTTTGTGAAACAGTCAAATAAATAAAATACCTTAGAAATCGTCAAATAAACAAATAAACCGCTCTTAAATGAAACCACAGAAATGCCAGAGGTTAATCTGAAACCGAATAACAAAATCTGTTTGTAAACCCAATGAATGCCACTGAAAATTGCCATAGAAATGCGCACACATAAAGTTATTATTATTTGTACCTTAGCCGTATTCCTTTAGCCGAAGCATTCAGATTCAGACCGCCCAGGCAATTGGCTTATCAGACACCCGCCTTTGGGTCACGCCCCCATGCAAATTTGCATGTTTATTGTGCGGTGGCTTTATGGCTGTAATAGCAATAATTAAGGCTTATTTACAAGCTCACAATGGCCGGCATTGGCGATGGCGGCAACAATTAGAGCGCCCTCGCCACGAGGATAACGACCCAGGACAACAACTGCAGGAGCCACTCAGTACAGGTAGCAGCAGCTGGCCAAAAGGGTCCTGCCAGCCAGCCAACGAGCCATCCTGCC